CACTGCAAACTCTGCCCTCCAGGTTCAAATGATTCTCCTGCATCAGTCTCCTGAGTAGCTGGGACTATAAGCACTCACCACCACGTCCGGCTAATTTTTGTACTTTTAGTAGAGACAGGGTTTCACCATGTTGGCCAGGCTGGTCTTGAACTCCTGGCCTAAGGTGATCTACCCACCTCGGCCTCTCAAACTGTTGGGATTACAGGTGTGAGCCACCCCACCCAGGCTCAGGTAGGATTTTAGATCTGACTTAGGGCTGCCACTATTTCCCTCTTCAGTTTTCCTTAGCCTGCCCTTGTTCTCTGTGAAAACTTGCAACAAGAGTGTGAGAGACAGCTCACTGGAGATTAATGTTTATTTTTAAATTTAAAGACAATTTGAAATTTAGGCAGTCTTCTTATTCTAGCTGTGCTAAAGGTGCAGGTTTTGGTAGTGTTAGTTTTTCCTTCCCTCCCTCCCTCCCTCCCTCCCTTCCTTCCTTCCTTCCTTCCTTCCAGGGATATATTGGAAGATTTGAATCAGTGTAGCCACCTTACCTTTGCTATCAAGTATTCTGTTTCTTGAATTTTATTCAATTTGTAATGTTTTTGGCTTTAAGTATCAAAGATGCTGGTCTCGGGTTGGCTTAGACGGCAGGGAAGTGTGTTACTGTACCTGCAGCAGGAAAAGCATTGCAGCGTGTCCCCGGGTTGGTGCCTCAGGGCTCTGCCTCCAGTGTATGCTGGCTTCATCTTCAGGCAAGAGGGCAGTGGCAGTTTCATGAGCATAGTAAGGGTTGTCTTAGATTGGGTTCCCTAGAAGCAGACCCTGATTTGGGGATTCTTGTGCAAGCAATTGACGAAATCCTCTCAGAAGAAATCTATAAGGAAGTGAGGGAAGCAGGATATAATAGAAGAAGCTGCTGGAGAAATATGATTTTAGAAGTCTAGCCTCAGCCTGATCCTGTGGGAAACTCTGGGGCAAGCATGGCACCACCGAATTTGTTCTGGAGGGAGCCAGAATAAGAGGGCTTGACTTTTTTTTTTTTTTTTTTTTTTAGACAGGGTCTTGCTCTGTCCCCCAGGCTAGAGTGCAGTGGAACAATCTTAGCTGACTGCAGAGGGCTTGACTTTTATATCTCTGCATAAGTGGTTGATCATAACTGGGTTGTGTTTCCCTTCCTAAACCAACTACAGTCAGGGCAAGTTCCACATGATTGGCTCGAACTGGCTGAGATGTACCCCTGGAGCTGGGGCTGTGTCATCTTCCCCTGAGTCTAGTGAGGAAGTACTGAATTCTGGAACAAAATTGAGGAAGAAGGGAGGGAGTGGATTTCAGGCCAGTAAGCAGCCATGTGTAGAAATACCCATCTTGTGCCAGGCACTGGGGACATAGCAGTGAACATTTCCAACAAAGAGCCTGTACCCTGGGGACTCAGCCTGGCCAGGAAGACAGACAATGAGAAATCGGGGTGATTCGGCGTTCCGATAAGTGCTGTGAAGAACAAGCGAGAGAGGAGAATAGAGATGTCTCAGAAGGACTTCTTTCTATTAGGTGGTCAGGGAAAGCCTCCCGACAGAGGTGATAACATTTGAGCTGAGGCCTAAAACAGTAAGGGAAGAAGAGGATTCTGGCAGAGGGAACAGAAGTGCAGAGGCTGAGGTAGGGACAAGTTTGCGGTACTTGAGGAGCAGGACAGGGTTACTGTGGCTGGGGTGCAGAGAAAGATGTTGGTGGGGGAGGCTGGACCACATGCAGGCTGGGGCAGAGACGCAGCCACGGGCCGACAGTCTCTGCTCACCATGGGTGGTACTGAGCAGAGGAGTGGCTTGATCATTTACATGTTTAAAATAAATATTTTCCCCTTGCCAAGTGGAGAATGGGTTGTAAGGGGGCAAGCGTGGAAGCAGGGAGATCAGTGAAGAGACTCATGCCATAATCGGGCCAGAGACCATGATGGTGGCTTGAACCAGAATAGCAGCTGAGCAGCAGGGGAGAAAGAGATATATTTGAGGCTTCCTCAGAGGTGGAGCCAACGAGAGCTGCTAATGGACAAAGGCAAGCTCACCCCAGGTCTGGCGATTTCCGATCTCAAAGCCCAGTTCCAGGGTGAAGTGCAGGGGTCCCCCACCCTCGGGCCCAGTCGTGGTATTGCGCAGCCTGAGCTCTCAGCACCTTCCAGGCACTGCCATGATTGCTCGGTGAAAGCAAAGGAGCTCGGTGGCAGGCATCTTCCACTGAACCATGGGCAGTGGGCGGGGGTGCTGCAGGGGAGGTGCAGGCAGTGAGTGGGCAGCTCTCTGAGGCTTCCAGGCCCAGGACTTCCTGCACCCTGTCCCACTGCTCTGGGGCCTGCCTTGGCTCGCAGAGACTGGCAACAGAAAATGGGGACAAGGGGCATGAAAGAAGCAGGGGAGGTGCACTTGGAGGTTAGTGGCTCAGGGCCATGTAGGGGTGTGGCCATGAATCCAGAAGGGAAGCCCTAAATGTATGTCCCCAGGTCCATGTCAGAGCAGAGCCTGGCCCCGGCTGGGATTCACAGGATGTGGAGCCCCTGACGCCCCCATCTCCTGTCTCCATGGACAGGGTTCTAGAGCACCTCAGCAGTCTCGCCAGAGAAGTGAGCCTGGACTATGAGCGCAGCATGAACAAGATCAACTTTGACCACATTGTCTCTTCCAAGCCTGAGACCTTCTCCTACGTGACCCTCCCCAAGAAGGAGGAGGAGCAGGTGCCTGAGCAAGGTGAGGGTCACTGGACCAAGACAGGCCCCATGGCCGTCCACCTGGCCAGAGCTGTCCCCCAACCCTCCCCTCCACGATCGTCTGCTCTGCCACTGTGGGCATCATTAGCTCGACACTCCCTGCACCTTCCCTGTCTCCAGCACTTGTCCCACTTCTCCCAGCTGCCTGGAGGGTTCTGGACCAGAGGAAGGGGAAGAAGGCTCTTTTTGAACATATTAGTGGGAATTGCACAGAAGTAGCAAGGTGAACTTGTATTAGGAAACAGTGTTTCCACAGTAGATGGAAGGGGCTCTGCTGCTCTGACCTAGAGGACAGTCCTTCTTCCTCCAGTAGCAAGAGGAGACTGAGTCTCAGAGCAGGATCCCGGGGCCCAAGAATGCTCCTTGCTTTGAGCTCCCCTGCCAACCTTCCTAGACTCAGCTTCCTGTGTGTCATGTACTCAGCATGCAGGCTGGGGTGTGGACAGTGGGCATTCCAAGAGGTCCTGGTACCCACATCTTCCTTCCTTGGTGCTCCAGGGCAGGCTGTGGACAGACCTTGAGCTTGTGTGCAGCACAGGTGGGGGTGGATGAGGAGGCGGTCCACGGCTCTCATCTACTTCTCAGAGGAGTCTGTGACTAAGGGGTCCTAGAAGGAATTCCTTTATCCATCTCAGAGTGGGCACCTCACTAAAGAGCTGCAGCACCACTCTAGCAAACTATGGGAAAAGTGGGGCTCTGGGAATGCTAGTCCCTCTTCCGGGGAAAAGGCAGGAGTCACGGCCCTCCATCAAGCACCTGTGGATCTGTCCTGTGTCCTGGTGTGGCCAGGCAGGGTCTCATCCTGGCCCTTGGCCACTACCCCTGCAGGGTTGGTGAGTGTCCCCAAGTACCCCTTCCGGGAGCAGAAGGAGGACTTCACCTTTGTGTCCCTGCTCACACGGCCAGAGGTCATCACGGCCCTCAGCAAGGTGAGGGCCCAGTGCAACAGTGTGACCACCATGTCCCTGTTCCACTCAAACCTCTCCAAGTACAGCCGCCTGGAGGAGTTTGAGCAGATCCAGTCACAGACCTTCTCCCAGGTTTGTGGGCATGAGGGGCACAGAGGGGCAAGTACAGGGCAGAACCTCAGAGCCAGCAGGCACAGGTCAGGGCCACAGTGGAAGGCCCGGGTCAACAGGCCACGTGGTGAGGCTGTGAGCTCCTGCTTTTCTCAAAACCTGTCCTCAGCCTCTTCCTAGACCTTATTGGAGGCTGGAGTGGGAACTGAGGGTGACAGCTTATCTTGGAGAGAAAGGGAAAACCAGGGCGGGCTCTATTTCCAATCCCTTTCCATCCCAACTCTGTTTGCCTCTGAAGCAGACCCCTGGTCTTAGAAGGGGAGCAGGAACCTCAGGCACCCCTGTGTTGACCTGCAGATTGGGGTATGATGGGGGTAGGGCCCCTCTTCTGTCTCTCTGCCTCATTCTCTGTGTCTTTCCCTCTCAGTCTGTTTTTGTCTTGTTCTCTGTCTCTCTGCTTCTCTCTTGTCTCATTCCCTGGGTCTCTGTCTCTCATGGCTGGAGGGAAAGTCCTGCTTCTGTTGCCCCATATTCCCTCTCTCCTTTCTTCCCTCCTTCCCCTAATCCCAGCAGCCCTGAGCCCTCAGGGTCACGTGAGGCTGTTGGTTGGCAGGGCTTGGCAGTAGTTGGGGTAGGGGACATCCCTCCACAATCAGATGAGCCCTGAGCCCCAAGTGCCCTGGTGCTTTGAGTCCCTGAGTGTGGCTATAGGTGACGGATCCCCAGGGTGGCCATGTGATGATGCCTGCGGCCACTCCAGGTGCAGATGTTCCTCAAGGACAGCTGGGTCAACTCGCTCAAGGTGGCCATGCGCAGCAGCCTGCGCGACATGAGCAAGGGCTGGTACAACCTCTACGAGACCAACTGGGAGGTGTACCTGATGTCCAAGCTGCGCAAGCTGATGGAGCTGGTGAAGTACATGCTGCAGGACACGCTGCGCTTCCTGGTGCAGGACTCGCTCGCCAGCTTCTCACAGTTCATCAGCGATGCCTGCCACAGCGTGCTCAACTGCACCGACGACATGGTCTGGGGTGACGACTTAATTAACAGCCCCTACAGGTGGGGCCCGGCTGGGCAGAGGCACCTGTTGATACTGGAGCTGTTCCTTGCTAGGCCCCAGTGGTTGGGATGGAGCAGGGTGGAGGACGAGGGCCAGGGTACCCATCCATGCCGGGTCCCAGGCAGTAGGGAGAGCTGAGCTCCCTGCAGGCTGCTGGGCAGTGTCCCGCCAGCCCTGGCTTGCATTGCTTCTGGTGACCTTCACTCACTTTGTCATTGAGTTACTCAGCGGAGAAATATTCTTTGAGCACTTGCCACGAACCAGGCACGGTTCTAAGGGAACAAGAGAGGCCCAGTCCCTGGTCTCATGGGGGAGACAGGCAGCAAACAGATAAATAAATATACATAGTCATTGCCAATTTGGGCAGGGGCCATGATAGACACTGGGGGTGGGCCTTTGCCAGGGGGTCAGGGAGGAGATGGCATCTGTGCCAAGACCTGAGACATAAGAAGAAACCGGTTGTGATGGGATGGGAGGTGGAGGGAGGTACAGGTGCAGAGAGCAGCATGGGCAGAGACACTAAGGGGAGGACAGGCCTGGCGCTGCTCGCTTGGCTTGAGGTCATCGCGCAGTCGAGGAAGGAAAGGCTGGCCAGTGTGGCTAGAGTCAGGGAGGACAGGGAGGGCTGCTGAGAATGCAGTGGGAGAGGTTGCAGGGACCAGGCCAGATCTCACGGGGCCTCCTGAAGTCTCAGCTGGGGGCTGGATTCATTGTAAGTACAGACAGAAGCCATCAGAGGGCCCCAGCTGAGCTCCAGTCTTGGCTCTTGCTGCGTAGCAGAGATCGGAAGCCAAGGAAGATGGGCTCCCAGGGAAAGTGTGGGGGCCACAACGCCCAAGTCCCAACAACCTTAACACAGGGGCGGGGGGCCTCCCTCGCTTGTGGTGCTCATGGGCCTCGGAGCATGTCAGGAGCTGAGGAATCTGTTTAGTCGGCCTGGGTCTTCCTCTCTGGCAACTTGAAGGTGTTTGGGAGGAAGGAGAAGTCAAGGACCGTGTATGGAAGGTCCAAGAGCCATAGCGCTGAGGAAGGGCAGAGGGCCGCCCCTGCACACAGGCCTCCTAGGCCCCTGCCCACAGTCAGCCCGCCATTGCCTGCAGGCCCCGGAAGAATCCCCTGTTCATCGTGGACCTGGTGCTGGACAGCTCTGGGGTGCACTATAGCACCCCACTGGAGCAGTTTGAGGCATCTCTGCTGAACCTCTTCGACAAGGGCATCCTGGCCACCCACGCCGTGCCCCAGCTGGAGAAGGTACACGCTGCAGCCTAAGCAGGCCGCAGGCCCTGGCTGCTGATGGTTCCCTGCGCCTCAGGGTGCTGCTGCAGTTCAGCTGTATCACAGGCCTCCTGTCAGGCAGGCAGCATGCTCAGCCCTGTAACTCTCAAGTATCTCATTTAATCCTCATCACAGGCTGCACTGGGAACTATTATTAACACCCGCATTCTGTAGGTGAGGCTTGGAGAAGTGTGATAGCCTAAGATTGTGTAGTTGCTAAGTGTCGGAACTGTGATCTGAACCCTGGGCTTGCTGGACCTTTGCTGCCATGGCCAGCTCTGACGCAGACCCCACGTTCTTGATCCCACCCAGCTCCTGCCCTCTCTTCATCTCCGGAGGGGATCACGGGCCGGCTTCTAATACAGAACCTCTGTCCAAAGCCCCGACTAGCCACTGTCACTGCACACACACCCAGCTGCACACAGCCCACTTCCAGGCCCAAAAGCCCCGTAGCCCTAGCTCTTCTTGTCTCCCCTGCTGGTCAGTCACAGCCTTCATGACCCGGTTGTCTTTTCTGCACCTTTCCTTGGCCCTGGGCTGAGTCAGGCCCAGGCAGGGGAAGATGCTGCTCGTTGGTGGGCCTCACAGGGCCTTCTGGCCTTGTAAAGAGACAGCACAGCAAAACCCCCTCCCCCTGCACCCCAACTCTCTGCGGCCACTGTGCCATCCACAGGCTTCAGGCATATCCTGCCCCTATTTGCCCTGCTCCTCGGGAGGAATCTCCGTCTCCAGCCCCTCTGCTTCTTCACCACCTGGCTCATCCAGCGCTGCCCCTCCCATGCCTTCCCTCGCAGCTGGTGATGGAGGACATCTTCATCAGCGGTGACCCCCTGCTGGAGTCGGTGGGCCTTCATGAGCCACTGGTGGAGGAGCTACGGGCCACCATCTCCAGCGCCATGGCCAAGGCCATGATCCCACTGCGGGCCTATGCCAAAGAGTACCGAAAGTACCTGGAGCTGAGCAACAACGACATCGCCACTTTCCTCAAGTGCGTACGTGTGCCCCTGCGCATCGGAGTGTGTTTGTGTGTCGGCGCATATGACTCCCTGCCAACCCTGCTCACTGTCCTCTGCCCCCTCCCATGTGCTTGCTGTCCTCAGAGCCTACCAGACGCAGGGCCTGTCGGCCCAGGAAGTGCGGGAGGTGGTGCTCACCCACCTGCAGGAGAAGGAGATCCTGGACAGTTCGCTGCCCAGCAGCATCATCATCGGACCTTTCTACATCAACACTGACAACGTCAAGCAGAGCCTGTCCAAGAAGCGCAAGGCCCTGGCCACTTCCATGCTGGACATCCTTGCCAAGAACCTGCACAAGGAGGTGGACAGCGTAAGTGCCCACCCGCCCCGCCTCAGTGACCACAGCAGCACATGAGCACCCTCACATATATGGCAAGATGTCCCCAGGCAGGGTCTGGGGTGTCTGCAGAGCCCAGGTGCCAAGGGAAGGAGCTGGAAACCCTGTCCCATCCCTGCCTGTCTTCAGGGAGCTGTCCCATATGGTAGGTCCCAGGAAATGGGGGTTTCTACCTCCTTCCCCAGACTTGTAGAGGCCTGGGAAGTCTCACAAAGGACACCCTTGACGGATTTGTTTCATGAAGCCAGGGAGTATGACCGCAGGCCTCAGGAGCCCTCCGTGTATTGGTGGGGCCAGAGGAGGCTGGGAGGTTGAGGTGTGCCGGGTCACACCCTTGGCCCACTAACAGTCCTCAGCAACCCAGGGAGCCCACCAGGAGCACCCCTCTTGGAAAGCGCCACAGGGTATTGGGGTGGGGGGAACAGTTCCCTGTCAGGAGATGCTGAAGACCAAGGAGGAGGAGCAGGCCAGGGAAGGCAAAGGAGCAGCATGCCGCCCTCCCCAGCACCTCCTCCCGCTGCCAGATCTGCGAGGAGTTCCGCAGCATCAGCCGCAAGATCTATGAGAAGCCCAACAGCATTGAGGAGCTGGCTGAGCTGCGAGAATGGATGAAGAGCATCCCGGAAAGGCTGGTGGGCCTGGAGGTGAGACGGGGGCCAGGAGGCACAGAGCCGGTGTTTGTTAGAGTCTGAAGGCTGGCGTTAGGCAGGGGCTGGGAGGTCAGGACCCAGGAGGCTGAGGGGGAGGTAGCTGGACAGAGCACAGATGGGGTTTGGGGGCTGTGAGCCGGGGCTTCAGAGCTCTGCTGTCTGGGGGTCGGGGGCTGGAAGCTGGACGTGTGGCTGCCATGGCTCTTGGAGTCCTGAGCCTGATGCTGCCCTTGCACTCTGGGCCTTCCCCCCCGGCCCAGACCTTTCTACTCTGAAAGAGAGCAGCCCCTCTCTAGTTTCCATCTCTTTGGGGAGCCAGATCCCAATTACCCACCCTGTTCCCTGGCACACGTGCAGTTCTCATTACCACCTGTCTGTACAGGAGCGGATTGTGAAGGTCATGGATGACTACCAGGTCATGGATGAATTCCTCTACAACCTCAGCTCAGATGACTTCAATGACAAGTGAGTGGGAGCTGGGCCCCCATGCCAGGTGCAGGGTGGAGTGTGAGGGGAGCTGCTGAGCTGCAGAGGCTCCCAAATGTCCCATCTGCCACAGCCTGTGCAGTCTCCCCAGAAGTGCCCCGCTGAGATTCCAGAGGCCAGGGCTCCACACATGGGCCAGGACCAGGTAGAGCTACGTGGCCAATGAAGCAGAAGGAATTCATTTGGGCCTCTTGGCCTCAGGTGCTCCCCAACCTTGTCTCTGTCCCATCAGTAGCCAGAGACCTCACACCCAGCACTGCCTCACAGATGTTGGGGGCAGTCAGGACCATCAGGGTCCTGCCCAGGAGCCCGGAGACACTGGCAGACAGGGCACCTGGGTGCTCAGGGGGAACTCCCCCAGGGTCAGCATCCATAGGCCAGCTTCAGGGGAAAGCCCCACGTTCCACAGATCCCCTGTGTCAGCTGGACAAAGAGAGTAGGTCTGACATGAAGGCAGCTGGCCTGAGGGCCCTGGCTAGAGACTGTGGCTTTGCCTCCTCCGAGGAAAGGCCCCTCTGGCCCCTGAGGCTCAAGAGTGGAACTTGACCCCACTCCTCTCACTTCCCCTTGGTCCTGGTCACTGCACTGGGCATGTTGGGTCTGCATCTCACTAGATGCAGACTGCAGCTCCCAGGGGGCAGGGCAGCCTCCCTGATGGTGGCGGTAGCTGCCTCCCAGCTCACCTGCACTTCCCAGCTGTCCGGCCCCAAGTGGCCTCCACAGCTGCCTGGATTTCCCTGGTTTCCCCTTCTCTCTGGCTGCCTGGGTGCCTGGTGGGATGCCCCTGCCTGGCCTTGCCACCCCACCACTTCAGCTGTGATATTTCTCCCAATCCCCACCCCCATCCCGACCAGATGGATTGCCAGCAACTGGCCTTCTAAGATCCTTGGGCAGATAGAGATGGTGCAGCAGCAGCATATGGAGGATGAGGAGAAGTTCCGCAAAATCCAGATCATGGATCAGAACAACTTCCAGGAGAAGCTGGAAGGGCTACAGGTGGGGCACGGCTGCAGGCTTGGTGCTGGACACTCCCTCCATCCCACCACACGCATGCACAGTTCTCCAGGGCTCGGTCTCACTTCTTGCATTCAGGAGGTGCTGAGTCAACGTGTGATGGGCGAGCAGATGGATGAAAGAATAAATGGCTGAAAGAGTGAACCTAAAGGCCAAAGAGATGCCTGGGCAGCAAGCTCCAGAAAGATTCAGAGTAGTAAAGACCCCAGCTCTTCTGTTGTGACCATGGTGGCCCAGTGGGCAGTGGGCCCAGCGTCAGGGCACTGGGTCTCCCCTGGCCCTGCTGTGTTACCACAGGACAGTCAGCCTGTCTGTGATGGGCTAGGAATCTGCTCACTCCAGGAGAACAGCCTCCTTACACTGGGAGGAGTGGATGTCTTGGGACCTCTGGTTCCCTGGGGTTTGCATGGGAAGGCGTGGACACAAATGAGGCTGCAGGGGCACCTGACCCACTGCTCCTTGGCCTGCAGCTGGTGGTAGCTGGCTTCTCCATCCACGTGGAGATTGCACGAGCACATGAGATTGCCAATGAGGTGCGGCGCATGAAGAAGCAGCTGAAGGACTGCCAGCAGCAGGCTGTGCTCTACAACAACCGCGAGCGCATCTTCGGCTTGCCCATCACCAACGTAGGCCTCCCGCAGCCGCCCTGCCCCTAAGCCCTCTGGCTCGAGGAAGCAGCTCGTGTAGATACAGCTACCAGGTGGCAGGGCTCCGGCATTTGGGGGCAGGGTAGAGCAAGCTGCAGAGTGGAGACAGCCCAACCCTGGCCGTCAGGTTGAGGAGGCCCCTGGGACCAGGCAGAAGGCCTGAGGGTCAGCCCAGGTCTGGTGCAACAGCTCAGAGCCCAGCTCTTGGGTGGGAAGAGAAGAAGGGAGACCAGGCCCAGGTGTGTGGGGGCAGGGGCAAGGACAGCAGCCAGGAACAAGGGAGAGGGAGAGGACCTGGCCCAGAAGGGGCTGCATGGAGAGAGACTGGGGAGCTCCCCAAGTCAGCCCCAATCCTGCTCTCCTATCCCCGCAGTACGACAAGCTCTCCAGGATGGTGAAGGAGTTTCAACCCTACCTGGACCTCTGGACCACAGCCTCTGACTGGCTGCGCTGGTCAGAGAGCTGGATGAATGACCCCCTGTCCGCCATCGACGCTGAGCAGCTAGAGAAGAATGTGATTGAGGCCTTCAAGACCATGCACAAGTGCGTGAAGCAGTTCAAGGACATGCCAGGTAGGGAGCCACCCCAGTGGGTCCCCTCCTTCCCTGCCTCCACTGGCTGCCTCTCACGCCTTTCTGTCCTACCCTGCAGCCTGCCAGGAAGTGGCCTTGGACATCCGGGCTCGCATCGAGGAGTTCAAACCATACATCCCGCTGATCCAGGGACTGCGTAACCCTGGCATGCGTAACCGGCACTGGGAGGTGCTGTCCAACCAGATCAACATCAACGTCAGGCCCAAGGCCAACCTGACCTTCGCTCGCTGCCTTGAGATGAACCTGCAGGACCATATTGAGAGCATCAGCAAGGTGGCCGAGGTGGCTGGCAAGGAGTATGCCATCGAGCAGGTGGGCAGCCATCAGCAGGCCCACCTACCCCACTCAGGCCCTGCCGGACAGCCTGGCCTTCTGCTTTGGCAGCCACAGCCACTTGGGAAGATGACAGTAATAAGCCCATGCCTGGGGTCATGAGGCCCAGGGGTTGAGATGCATTCTATTAAGTGAGTTAATAATACACATAAAGTTCTTGACAGTGTCTACCATTGCTATTATTCTTCAGTTACTCCTCTCAAGAGCCTCAGGAAGGAGCTGATAACATTATCCTCAATTTAACAGATGAGTCAGGCTGGGCGCAGTCACATGCCTGTAATCCCAGTACTCTGGGAGGCTGAGGAGGAAGGATTGCTTGAGCCCAGGAGTTTGAGACCAGCCTGGGCAACATAGGGAGACCCCCGTCTCTACAAAAAATTAAAATATCAGCTAGGCATGGTGGCACATGCCTATAGTCCCAGCTACTTGGGAGGCTGAAGCTGCAGTGAGTGGTGATTATGCCACTGCACTCCAGCCAGGGAGACAGAGTGAGATCCCGTCTCAAAACAAAACAAAACAAACAAAAAAACAGATAATCAATTAAGACTCAGAAAGGTTCAGCAACTGGTCAGGGTGACACAGTAAATGCCAGAGGTGAGACCAGCGCCCACACTTCTCTTCACCTTAGCTGCTTCCCAACACAGGTACAACCACATGCAGCACATGCGTAAGAGTGAATTGGGCCAGGCGCGGTGGCTCATACCTGTAATCTCAGCACTTTGGGAGGCTGAGGCCAGTGGATCACCTGAGGTCAGGAGTTCGAGACCAGCCTGGCCAACATGGTGAAATCTTGTCTCTACTGAAAATACAAAAAATAGTCGGGCGTGGTGGCATATGCCTGTAGCCCATTTACTTGGGAGGCTAAGGCAGGAGAATTGCTTGAACCCAAGAGTCAGAGGTTGCAGTGAACCAAGATTGCGCTGCTGCACTCCAGCCTGGGTGATAGAACGAGACTCTATTTCAGGGAAAAAAAAAAAAAAGAATGCATTGGCCCTGAATTCAGATGAGGGCTCACATGGGACTTGTTGACAGACAAGCTGAGACTATCTGCCAGAGGGGTCATGTGAAGGTCATGGCCAGGTACTGTCTGCTGCTTCCCTGGCCAGGGCTACTCAGACAGCAGCAGGACCAGTCCCTCCTGGGACTCAGCCTGGCTTGTCCCCCACCCCAGGCACTAGACAAGATGGAGAAGGAGTGGTCAACCATCCTGTTCAACGTCCTGCCCTACAAGGAGACAGACACCTACATCCTGAAGAGCCCAGATGAGGCCTCGCAGCTGCTGGACGACCACATCGTCATGACCCAGAGCATGTCCTTTTCACCCTACAAGAAGCCCTTTGAGCAGCGCATCAACTCCTGGGAGAACAAACTGAAGCTGACCCAGGTCAGCCCTTCCCCGAGTCCTTCCCTCATCGCTCCCCCACCCAGAGAGCCCCGGCCCATGGCTGTCACTGATGGTCTCCGGGTAGGGTTCAAAGCATCACAGCACCTTGCCCCCGTTCACACAGCCCCTGGCTTTCTGGCAGGCCCTGCCTCACTGCATTCAGAGGCAGTCAACAAGGATGGGCTCTCCAGACATGAAGTTCTGCTATTGGACCAGGCAGTTAAGGATGTGGAAGGGCAGCATTTGGTCCCAAAATGTGGCTGAGGAAGGGACTGAGAACTGCCAGCTGGCCTCTCCAGGGCTGCCTGAGCTTAGGATAACCAGGACCTCCAGTACTGACACTTTCTGGGCTGGATGCCACAAGGCCCCAAAGCACCTCAGTGCCCTTTCCCAGACTGTCCTGAGTTTCCATTTCCATCTCATTCAGAGCTACCTTAGTTGAAGGGACTGGGCCATACTCAGGGCCTACACTTGTCTCAGGCTCTCAAGGCCAGAGACAAGGGCTGCCCACAGAGCCCTGGAGGGCAGTCCAGGAGCCAACCTGCAGGTGTGACTGTGTGAGCTATTCAGAGACCTCCAGTGAAGGCCAGAAGCAGGTGAAGGGGACTTATCAGTGTGCCTGGACTACCCAGAGCTCCCTGAGCTGGTCAGCATTGTCCCAGCTCTCCCTCTCTCATGCTGGCCACTCGACCTGGAGTTCTACACCCACCTTCCATCTCCTCCAAGGTCCAGCACCAAGCAGCCTCACCGATTTTCCCTCACCCTCCTTCAAGGGGTTCCCACTTAGGCCATTGGTCAGTGCCTCTTACAGAGTCCACCACACATGCTGGGTCCATGATTCAGGGGCAAAACTAACCCCTTAGTGGGATGTGGTCCCCTCAAGGGAAGCGACCAGGCCCCATTCACCCCTGTTTCCCCTGGTGCCCACCAGGGCTTGGCATAGTCCTGACACTGCTGACTGTGGCCCCCATCCCACGAGGAAGAAGTGGATGAGTATGTGAGTTTGTGCTGATGGGAGAAGACCAGAGATAAATCCTGAATGGGGAATATGTAGGCGGAAGGAGGAAATGGCTTATTCTGAAGATGTCTCACTCTCGGACTGATGTTTCAGAGAGTATTTTAGGACTCTCACACTCAAGACCCATTGAACCCCAGAGAATCCTGGGGCCATGGACCCCGAAGTCCTTCTAGGAAAGAGGCTGGGTTTGCTGGGTTTGTCTCCCAGGCACTGAGTCTTTGCTGTCACTGCAGGCTTTGCTGGCATGGGTGTATTCCTCCCTTTGAGAGAGCAGCTCCCCCGGCTCCCTTGGAGGCTTGGGCGTTCCGTGAGGATGTGGGACTTCTCTTGAGGGCAGACATCCCTGTATCCTTTTTGTTCCCTGGGGTATCATGGATGACAGCACCTTCTAGAAATCTCCCTGTAGACACAGGGTTTGGTGTCCAGTGCTCTGCCCAGCATGCTGGTGGGGTGAAATGTCTCAGTCATGCGGACAAACCCCAGCTTGGACCCTGACAGTCTGTATCACACCCCTCCCTGCCCCTCCCCTCCCCAGGAGGTGCTGGAGGAGTGGCTGAACTGCCAGCGGTCCTGGCTCTACCTGGAGCCCATCTTCAGCTCTGAGGACATCAACCGGCAGCTGCCTGTGGAAAGCAAGCGCTACCAGACCATGGAGCGGATCTGGAAGAAGATCATGAAGCATGCCTACGAGAACCGAGAGGCAAGCTTGACGGGGTGGGAGGGGCAGCTGGGGCCCCCAAGGGCCCTGGTCACATTGCTGGTAGCCTCCTAGTCTATCTAGTCTATTCCCTCCCTACACAGAAAAGGCTGGTGGACAAGCCTGAGGATTTGGTCTTGACCCACGTCCTCCAGAGTGGGCTCCCCAGCCTCAGAGATACTCCTTAGAGGCACAGTCACTGACAGTTTTTCTCTTGGAGATCCACAGCCCACTTTCTTTTTTTTTTTTTTTTTTAAATGGAGTTTTGCTCTTATTGCCCAGGCTGGAGTGCAATGGACAATCTCGGCTCACTGAAACCTCTGCCTCCCAGGTTCAAGCGATTCCCCTGCCTCAGCCTCCCAAGTAGCTGGAATTATGGGAATGCGCTATCATGACTGGCTAATTTTTTTGTATTTAGTAGAGACAGGGTTTCACCATGTTGGTTAGGCTGGTCTTGAACTCCTGACCTCAGGTGATCCACCTGCCTTGGCCTTCCAATGTGCTGGGATTACAGGAGTGAGCCACTGCACCTGGCCCACATTAGCATTTTAGAGGCCCTGACAAGTCCTGCAGCAAAGCAAACTCCTTAGCTTAAGGAGTTTAACTCTAATTTGTTTGACCATAGAATTTTTTTTCTGTGGGACTGGACGCAGCTGCTGGCTCGGGAGAATTTTTCGGCATCTTCCTTCCCAGGCCCGGCTGAGGGGCTCTGGCTGGGGTGGGTGCTCTGGGCTGAGCCTGCCTTGATACCTGGCCCATGCTCACCACCCATTTCTGTGCATGGTCTGGCCCTGCAGGTGATCAATGTGTGTTCAGAAGTGAGGATGCTGGACAGCCTGCGGGACTGCAACAAGATACTGGACCTGGTGCAGAAGGGCCTCAGCGAGTACCTGGAGACTAAGCGGAGTGCCTTCCCCAGGTGGGCACCGCCTGGCCCATGGCTGCTCTGCCAGTATCTGCCCGTGAGGCTGAGGCACCCAGGGCCCTGCTCAGGCTAGGGTGCAGGGATGTCTGTAGTGCTGGGCAGCTGGGGCCCAGGGAGCCTGTGTGACCCGCTTCCTCACCCCTGTTCCCCTGGCAGATTCTACTTCCTATCGGATGATGAACTCCTAGAGATCTTGTCGCAGACAAAGGACCCCACGGCTGTGCAGCCACACCTGCGCAAGTGCTTCGAGAACATCGCCCGGGTGGGCAGCTGGGCCCCAGGCTCAGAACCGGGAGCATGGGGCATCTTCCCAGGGAGAATGTGTCTCCTTTTGTGACAAGCACTTTTAGCAGGAAATTAGGTGTGACATTCCTAGTCTTTGGAGACACACCCAGGGCCTGTGAGAGGAAGGTCAAGTGCAGAATCCCCAGCTCATGGCTGGGGGCCCTGGATTTCCAGCTCACCAGGGCTCCCTGTTCCCCCGGCACACTGCGAAACCCATGAGGCCAGAGGCCTGTGACCCGCCTTGTCCTCCCTCATCTATGCAGGA